TTCTCAGCATAGGACCTCTGGACTTCAGATGGAGGCCTTTGAGTCTGCATTAAACTTCCAAGGAGTAAGGGTAGAATGAATTTGTGCCCTGGTAGGGCTGAAAAAACATGTAGTTAGTGTTAATCAAAATGTACCTTTCTGCATCTTTTTTTTTTTGGTACTGTTTTACTTTTGTTTATTTTGGGATAATCCTCACTAGCAAACCGTGTGATGCTTGCTAGTTCTCAAAAGGAAGAATTTTCTTGTCAGAAGTAACAAGCAGGTAGGGGTGACCTAACTTTTATATTTGGCAACTAGTAATATGTTTCTCAATATTCTACTTCATTGTGGATTTTTTTTTGCAAAACAGGTGATTTATTTATTGAAAGGCAGAGTGTTACAGAGAAGGAGAGACATAGACAGAGAGATTGTCCCTCTCCTGGTTCCTTCCCTACATGGCAACACAGCCAGGGCTGGGCAGGCTGAAGCCAGGAGACTGGAACTCCAACCAGGTTTCCCATATGGGTTGCAGGGGCCCAAATACTTGAGCCATCTCCTGTTACTTTTGCAGTCTCATTGTCAGGGAGCTGGATTGGAAGGGAAGCAACCAGGACTCAAACTGGACCCCAAAGGAGATGCTGGTGTTACAGGCGGCAGGTTAAGCCCTTGCCACAACGTTGGCATGCTGGCTAATCTACTTTTTAATGGTTAATTTATTTGTTTGAAAGGTAGAGTAACAGGGGAAAAGACAGAAGAAAAGAGAGAGGAGAGAAGAGAGAGAGAGAGGCATTCACTATCTGCTGGTTCGTTCTCCAACTGTCCCCAACAGCCATGACTGGGTCAGGCCAAAGCCAAAAGCCAGGAGCTCCATTTGGGTCTTTCTTGTGGGTGTCAGGAAACCAAGTACCCAGACCATCATCTACTTCATCCCAGGTACATTAGCTAATGCACCTCTGTTCTGACAACTCCCACCCTCTGGGTTACCTCTGTGTCCACATCTTAACACCTCCACTTCAAGCCTCCTAAGCAGGAATTATAACCACTTGCACTGGGCAGCTCAACTGGTTGTTATTTGCCCAAGAAGAGTCCCAAAAACTAAACAGCAGGGCTGAAGTTTGATCCACAATTTGGGTTTCCAAATTCCATGTTAATTCTTTCAAACAGGTCATTGAGGGACGGTTTCCAACATCCTTGTCTGTGCTGTGTTCACAACAAATCTTACCATTTAAAAAATTCTAGATCCTATTAAAATGCTAAAGGAAAGAGGAATCTTCTTTCTAATTAACTATTCTTGTAGAAAAAGGTTGCGACTTGACAAATGAATATTTCCCCCAGTTTCTTTAACTTTAATGTTCTTTAAGCTTCAGACTTCCCTGGGATAATTCAATAGTAATTTTTAGACAGCACACTCATTTATGGTATCCTTCAACTTAACTGTTAAATTCCACAAAATTAAATCCATCAGGGTAAGTACAAGAAAGATGGCAGCAGGAGGGAAAGAGCAAACAGTAAATTACTAAAAGGACTGAGCCAGGACTGAAACTTTGGTGTAGGGGGTAAAGCTGCCACCTGCAGGTCTGGCATCCCATATGGGTGCCAGTTTGAGTCCCAGCTGCTCCACTTCCCATCCAGCTCTCTGCTGTGGCCTGGGAAAGCAGTAAAAGATGATCCAAGCCCTTGAGCCCCTGTATCCGTGTTGGATACTGGGAGGAGGCTCCTGGCTTTGGATCAACGCAGCTCCAGCACAGCTCCGGCTGTTGCAGCCATTTGGGGAGTGAACCAGCAAATGGAAGACCTCTCTCTCTGCCTCTCCTTCTCTCTGTCTCTCCTTCTCTCTCTGTATAACTGGACTTTCAAATAAATAAATAAAATTAAAAATAAAAGTATTGAGCCATAGGAAGCCTTATTCTCCTACTGTTTTATTTTCCTGAGTGTGAAAAATATGTCACGACTCTGACCACATTCTCATGTGCAATTCTTTTTCTTCTACACTCACCTGGCATGATTTATTGGAAAACACATAGGGATAAGTTGTAAGGAGAGCGCTTTAGCCTTCAGTTGCTGCGAAAAATGAATAAACAATCAACTAAGCAAGGGGAACTCTTCTGTCCTCATATGCTAGTTACTGAAGTATTAATTACATCAAGGCACCTTCAGGTTAATTGGGTCATTGTTTGGGCACTATTGAAATTTTGGGTAATTCTGATCATCCCATTGCTAAGCTCCCTCACTCTCTTCTTTTAAATGACCTGTATTCATTTTCCCTACTGAGGAAATCTAAGCTATCAGAATATAGGCTGAAACAGAATGACAGGAAAAACAGGAGGGAGAGGAAGAGAGGCTGAGCATAGAGAGATTCTCCAAGTCAAAGCTGTTGGAGACCCCGTGGCTTATACTGACACCTCCCTATAAATATAGACTCGTGTGCATTTTATTTTATAGATAATTAGGAGCTGAAATTCACCATGTTTCTACTTAAGAGTTAGAATTGTCCCAGAATTAATATTGGAAGCAGACAGAACACCTCTATTCAGTGTCTCCCACTCCCATCCCAATTCCAACCTCCCCTTAGTCCACACAGCTCATCTTTCAGTCATGATGATGGCTTATTAGAACACTCTAGAAACCGGAAATGTGTATGATTAGGAAATTCTGACTTGTACAGGCCTTTTTTGTTGAAACAAGTGAATATAGCACGATTAAGGGGAATACTTTGGAAAATAATGATAAAAGTAAGAGCTTAATAACAAAAAATAAGAAACATAGAGGCTAAAATCTGCTGAGGATAGCCCCTTTCTCTTACTAACTTTACCTGTGTGTGTGTGTGTGTGTGTGTATTGCGTTATTATGCAAGATAGAGAGGTTTCCATTTCTGTCCAGTAATCATGCCTGTCCAGTGGGCTCTGGGCTGCTTTTCAACTCCTTTTCAGCTGTTGGTTGGTCAGAAATTTCTCTGGAGAGCTGTGCTGGAAATTTCCAAATTCTCACAATAATCTGGTTCAGAATGGCCTAAATTTGTTGTGGAATTACCTAGATAATTCTTAAACATGAAGCTAGATTCTAACTTGTAAATACATATGTATACCCTTCTTTCTCACACATCATGATCATTTTCATGAATCACTCACTTTGTGATATTAATCTCTGTTTTCAAGAAAAAATAGTGTATATATGCATATATATATGTAAATATATAGATATGGGCTACAAATGAAGTAAATGTGGCAAAGCTTTAAAAACTGTTAAATATTAAAGCTAAAAAAGAATAAATTCAAACTCAATAAAGATAAACAAAAAGTTATGAACTGAAAAGTTCATTTTTTTAAACTTTAAAGTTTTTTGAGCTTCTACTTTTTTGAGTTTAAGAAAACTCAAACGAGAAGCTTTTGCTTCTCAAGTGACTTTACTGAAAGAAGACTCTCAGACATCCTTTAGGGGAAGCAAGAAGTCTTCCATTTTGACACAATTCACACCTGACAATTTCAAATGGTATTTGAATGTATTATAACAAGGCAGAGTAGTACAAACGTACCAGTGTCCTCAACTCTGGGAACTCCGACAAGGCTTGCAAATCAGGTACTCTAAGCTGGATTCTCATTTCATTCTCGCTCACTGAAGAATCTAGGAAAAGCCTCAGGGTCAATCGGAACTCATCTCTGTGGCCATCAGTAAGGTATAATCATAGGAAGTCAGCGTCAGGAGGAAAATGATGGAGTTGGTAAGTAGCGAATTAAGGCTTGTGACTCAGTGAGAGGATCAAATGAGCACAATACTGACTTTAGTTTGTAAGTGAAATATGCTTTAACCATACAATGGAATCCAAAGTTATCAATGTGAAAAAGCAAACTTTAATAAGGGAGAACATTTCCAATGTGACAGCAGTGGAGACAACTCACTGACAAAGGGATTATTTCATAGATATTTTTGAATGAGGGAAACAAATTATAGAACAGAATGATCTCAACTGTTATATGTATGAAAGAAAAAGCTATTCACACTAAGAAGAATATAAAAATACCTAAACCAATCTATTACCACTGCTGGAAAAAGATTCACGAGACTAATAAACACAGGTCATTACGGCAATTTTTACATGGTGTATAAGTCACTATTAACATAGTTGATAGAGAGAAATAACTGCCAGGTGAGTTGCTGTTGCCAATCACTCGGCATAGCCACAGGGAATTGCGTTATCCTGGGGCTGGGACTAAGACGTTTTCAGAGGTGTTTTGGCAAGGTGACCATACTTACCGTAGACTCAGAGGTGGCTTCAAGTTCCACAGGAGTCTTTATGTTGTTATCTTGGGATTTTAAGTCACATCAAATGTGGGGAATTTCAAATTATGTGTAAGAATCTTAATTATGTCTTAGAACTTAGAAGATATTTCGCACATGTGAATTGACAAGTGCATTTGATATGTGTTATAGGTGTGCTGGCTCTACTTCTGTGCTTCACTCTTTGACTAATAAATAATAGAAAGATGGTAAGATGATAGTGATGACCACAGAAAGTGATAAAAAGAATCAGTGACATTAGTCAATACTAATGCAACTGAGACTAAGCACTAGTCATATATTTGTTCAGATAATTCATTCTGCAAATGAGCCCTGTGGAATGCAGCACTAAGGTTGTTCCAGGAACTGTCGGGAATTCTGAAGATGGCTGTAGTTGCTGGTATTCCCAGTGATGCTTGCAGCTAGATTTAATGTAGAAGTCCATTCAAATATCTGCCTTCAAACTTTTTTCACTTCCACTATTCCACAGGCGTACTTAGCAAAATGTCATGAAATCATAAATGGAGAACTGCTGCATTTTTGTCCATGAACATGACTGATTACAGAAAACTTATTTCCGGGGTTGTTGGGGGAAGAAAAGACAGACTTCTGTCCAAGATAATTGATATGAACCTTTACAACATCTAACATTACAGAATTGGAAAGTGGCGCCGAAGGGAGTTCCATAAGTCCATCTCCCTTACTTAGGTCAACACCACCCCTTCTCTTTCTCTGCTTACTCGTAGAATGCAGTCCCAACAGTACCAACAGCAGCGTCGAAAATTTGCAGTTGCCTTCTTGGCATTCATTTTCATTTTGGCAGCTGTGGACACTGCAGAAGCAGGGAAGAAAGAGAAACCAGGTAAGCTGTAGAGTTACGAAGGCGGGTTGCTCCACTGATTAATGTCCTCTTCACCCACTGCCTGTCTCCCTCCACCCCTCCCTTCCCTCCTGCCTTCCAGTTATCCAGAGGATCACAAGATATATCCTTTCTAATGGCCCCTGCACATAAGTCTTGGAGTCTGATTATATTATAGCTATTGTGTGTTGAATATTGAGCAGCAATCATGTGCTTCTAAAAAGAAGAGGTAGTAGAAAGAGTTAAGGCTGACTGGGCATTTGACCTAGTGGTTATGACGTCTGTTTCCCATATTGGAGTGCCTGGCTTTGGGTCCCTGCTTACTACCAAGTCGAGTTTCCTGGTAGTGCACACCTCGGAAGGCAGTGAGGATGACTGAAATGGTTGGATCCTGGCCATCTAGATGGGAGAGCTGCATTGAGTTCTCAGTTCCTTGCTTTATCCTGGCCCAGCTATTGCCGTTGTATAGATTTGGGAAGTGAAACAGCAGGTGCGAACTCTCTGTCTCCTGCATAAATAAATAAAAATGTAAAAATCAGTTAATCCTAAAAAGGGAGAAAAATTTCTATCGGAAATCACAGTTGACAGATTACTTATTTAGTTATGTTACCGCTCTTCCTCAAACATTCTCATACTTACAAGGAAGGAAAGTGAAACTTGGAGAGCGCTACTCCACCCCCACGGTAATAAACAGGCTGTGCAACTGGAGTCTGTTTAAGTCTGTAATCCTCAATATTTTTATTATGCTATTCTGTCCACAAGGCACAGGAAGGAATAAGAGTACGGGCATTTGATACAGCTGTAAGATGCTGCTTGGGATGTCTGTATCTTGTAACAGAGTGTCCGATTTGATTCCCAGCTACTCAGCTTCCAATTCAGCTTCCTGCTGTTGTGTGCCCTTGGAGGTGGCAGGTGAAGGCTCGAGTGCCTGGGTCCCTGCCACCCATGTGGGAGACCTTGTGGAGTTCTGAGGTCCCAGATTGGGACTGGCCAATCTCTGGCTATTGAAAGTATTTCTGGAGTTAACCAGTTGGTTGAAGATCTATCTATCTATCTATAGATATATCGATCTATCTATCTATATATAGATATATATTAAGACATATATCTTATTTTCAGATAAGTGAAATGATGATAACATTTTTTGGAAAAAAAGAGAAATAACAGTTTTCATTGAAAGGGCTAATCTGACAACTGTTTTTTTTTTTTAATTGAGTGGTCTCTCATTTTTAGGGTTAACTGTCTGATCTTCTCTTTTATAGAAATGTTTGCTCCTCAAAAGAGCTGTCAGTAAATTACTTAACAGTCTCTGGCACATAGTAAGGGTTAGACTAATATAACTAATATAATAATATAATAATATAGGGCCGGCGCCGCAGCTCACTAGGCTAATCCTCCACCTTGCGGTGCTGGCACACCAGGTTCTAGTCCCGGTCGGGGCGCCGGATTCTGTCCTGGTTGCCCCTCTTCCAGGCCAGCTCTCTGCTGTGGCCAGGGAGTGCAGTGGAGGATGGCCCAAGTGCTTGGGCCCTGCACCCCATGGGAGACCAGGATAAGTACCTGGCTCCTGCCATCGGATCAGCGCGATGCGCCGGCCGCGGCAGCCATTGGAGGGTGAACCAACGGCAAAGGAAGACCTTTCTCTCTGTCTCTCTCTCTCTCACTGTCCACTCTGCCTGTCAAAAAAAATAATATAATAATATAACTAATATAAGTTCTAGCTCCTTCTTCAGTTTTTTCCTCTCTATCCTCTCTTGTTCATTGATTCAACCATCTAGCTAACATCTGTCACGTTTCTACTATTTACTGGACAATAAGGTAAGGGATAGAGATAGAGGAGGGAGAGAGAGGGGGGAAGAGAGACAGGCTGCAATTAAGGCACTCAGGAGTGAATGCAAATCTAGGAGTAGAATTTTCTAAATGTTGACTACTTTTCTTCCTTCTTCCAGAAAAAAAAGTGAAGAAGTCTGACTGTGGAGAGTGGCAATGGAGTGTGTGTGTGCCCACCAGTGGAGACTGTGGGCTCGGCACCCGAGAGGGCACTCGGACTGGAGCAGAGTGCAAACAAACCATGAAGACCCAGAGATGTAAGATCCCCTGCAACTGGAAAAAGCAATTTGGAGGTAAGTCTCAGGCAGTCATCCCATTGCTTTTCATTTCTCAACTTTCAGCTCCCGTGACATTTTGGGTCAGGTGAATTTTTTGTTGTGGACGCTATCTTGTATATTATAAGATATTTAGCAGCGTTGCTCACTTCTAGTTACCAGTTTCCAATAACACCTTCATGCCTGCCAGTTGTGAAAACTACACATGCCTCCAGATACTTAGCGTCCAATGGCACTAGGGGTCAAATTCATTCTTGGTTGAGAACCACTGCGTTACCTATAAGAACAGAAAATACACACATGATCCCTCCTAGTAATGACCAATGGTCTTTCCTCTCTCCCTTCCCACTTTCCTTCCCCCTTCCCCCCTCCCTCCCTCCCCCTTCCTTCCTTCCCTCCCTTCTTCATTTTCCCCTTCTTCCCTCCCTCCCTCCCCCTTCCTTCCTTCCTTCTCCCCTTTCCTCCTCCTTCCCTTCCTCCTTAACTCCCTCCCTCCCTCCCTCCCTTTCTCTCTCCCTCCCTCCCCCCCCGCCCCGCCTCCATTGCTCCTCTTATTTTTTCTTATCTGTGCGTTCTGAGTTCCCTTTCTTTTCCTTTTGCCTTTTATTGCTCAGTCTCTCCATGTCTCCCTCTGTCACTTTCAGGTCACTTGTGATTCCTCCTGATCCTCCATATAGCTCCGTAGATTTGCTTGTTAGAACCCAGCAGGGCTGGCCACAGCCACTTTTCACAGTTGTTTTTCTTGCTGACTCTTCAGCTACACACTGTCCTGACCAATCTATTTGAGACCGCATCTCTCAACACTTCCAATGTTAAATTCATTCATGAACCCCTAAAAGCCTCTTCCTTCCACATTCCAGGTTTTCTGTCTTTCTTAGCCATGGTGGAACATGATGATCCAGACGTGCCCTAGTGTCTAAAGGCACGTGAAGAAAGCTAAACAATAGGCATGCATATATCTTTTCCAACCTCTGTAGTATTCGGAATACTTTTTGAATGGAGACAAGTTCTGGAAAGGCACGGTGGAACCCAGATACATTTGATCTTAAACTACACAATGGGAGCCTTAAAGATTCAGCTACAAAAATTTCAAAAGTATGTTTCCAAGGATAAAAATGTAGAATATCTGAAGAATTCTCAAAACTCAACAGGAAAGAAATTAACTCTCTAGAAATAAAGTGGGAAGAGACATTAACAGACATTTTACCAAAAAGGATCTTTAGGGGGGAAATGAATATCTGAAAAGATGTGCAGCTTCTTTCCCCATTGGGGAAATGGAATTTTTTTGAGATTTTATTTATTTATTCATTTAAGAGGCAGAGTTACAGAGAGAGGGAGAGACAAAGAGAAAAGTCTTTCATCCACTGGTTCACTCCCCAAATGGCCGCTAAGGCCAGAGCTGCGCCGATCCAAAGCCAGGAGCCAGGAGCTTCTTCCAGGTCTCCCACACAGGTGTAGGGGCCCAAGGACTTCTACCGCTTTCCCAGGCCTTAGCAGAGAGCTGGATCGGAAGTGGAGCAGCCGGGACACAAACTGGCACCCATTTGGGATATTGGCGCCACAGACTGAGGCTTAGCCCATTACCCACAATGCCGGCCCCTGGGAAATGGAGGTTTAAGAAATACTGAAATATCACTATACACCAATCAGAGTAGGTATTTTTAACTAGTAGTGATAATAGCAAATTCCAGCATGATCATAGAGAAGTCAGATCATCCATATATTGCTAATGAAATTATAAAATGATACAGGCACACTGGGAGTATATGGGCAGTTCTTACAAAACGGAACATGTGTTTACTATGCAATCTAGCCGTTTCTCAGGAATCTACACAAAGAAAATAAAAGCATGTTTCCACAGAAAATTGTACTTGAGTGTACATAGGAGGTTATTTTTGTAGCCAATAACCAGTAACAACCCAGATGTACTTCTGGTGAAGAGTTCAGCAAGCTATGGAAAATTAGTCATCAATAAAAAGAAGCCGACTATCAATAAACATAAATTGAGGGATCAATGGATCTTGGAAATTATGCTAAGTGAAAAAAAGCCAGTCTCAAGAGTTCACACATGGCATTCTGAAGATGACAGAATTATAGAGCTGGAGAAGAGATTGGTGGCTGTGAAGGACTGAGGTGGTGGGAAAGAAGGAAGTGATAAGCTACAAATCATAACCCAAGGAGTCCTTTAGTTGCAACTGTTCTGTATATTAATGATGATGGTGGTCACCTACATCAGCACATATGCCAAGAATTCACACCACTGGGGCTGGTGTTGAGGCACCTGTGATACTGGCATTCCATGTGAGGGCCCGTCTGTGTCCTGGCTGCTCCATTTCTGGCCATTGCAGCCATCTGGGAAGTGAACCAACGAATGGAAAATCTCTATAACTCTGACTTTCAAATAAATAAAATAAATATTTTTTCTTATAGAACTGGTGAACTCTGAATAAACGTTCCATGGAATAATATCAATTTCAGGGCTGTGTTGTGTGTTATACGTAAGTGAGCAGTAACAATTGGGAGAATCTGGGTGAGGAGTGCATGCAATCTTTATGTATTATTGCTTATTACAATTATCTCAGTCCGAAAAGTTAAAAGCAAAAGTGTATATTTATTTTCATGGTATTACAATAGAAACTTTCAAGAATTTCTGTTTGGTCCTACCCTGTCCCTAGCGGAATGCAAATACCAGTTCCAGGCCTGGGGAGAATGTGATCTGAACACCGCTCTGAAGACCAGAACCGGAAGTCTGAAGCGAGCCCTCCACAATGCTGAATGCCAGAAGACAGTCACCATCTCCAAGCCCTGTGGCAAACTGACCAAGCCCAAACCTCAAGGTAGGTCCTTGCCATTATACCTCAAGTTTAACAAATTAATGGCGTCAAGCAAGATTTTCACGTGTGGAAATCTGAATTTTTGCCAGAAGGAAATATAAGGTGAGTCACCTTAAGAAAGTGATTGAAAAAGTTCTGTGTGTTGGGCATCACGAAAGTTCTTCCCATAGGCTGTTTGTTGTTCAAGTTGAAATCCTGTGCATAAATAAGGTCATTGGTACTGTCTCATAATGAGAGTAACTAACTTAGCCAAGCAGGCCGGTTAAGGCTGCAATTGTATGGTGACCATGTATCCTTTACATTGGAATCATATCCTGACAAAAAAATGCTTATGAAATGCACAAGGCACAAAAGCTTATATCAAACCCTTTTCAGATCATTTGAAATAGTTTTCACAAATCAGGGAAATTATTTCACATTTTCCCTTTCTCCACTGCATAACTTGATAGTTTCTGTATTTCTTGTACTTCTTTCAGAGACATTATGTATCTTGGGGTTGTATTAGCTTACCAGCTACATTCAAATCACAGAATTTAAAAATTACATAGAGCTATCTTTTCCAGAAAGTCAGTTTCTACTTCTGGCTGGAGAAAGTAAACCAAAAACAAATCTGATGGCTATTGTTTGAAACAAATAGAATATCAGCCATGGGAGGTCAAGGAGGCATTAAATTATTTTATTTCATGGGTGCTTTGGGATGAATTTTGTCCCCTCCCTCTAAAAATTCATATGTTGAAGTTCTACCCTCCAAGACCTCAGAATGTGATAAAAACTGGAGTTAGGGATTTAAAGAGTTAACTAAGTTAAAATCGGGTCATACAAGTATGACCGGTATGGCCATCCAGTATGGCTGGTATCCTTATAAGAAGAGGTAAGGAGGGCAGAGACACACACAGAGGGCAAATGATGTGAAGAAGGGGGAGGAGATGGCCATCCACAAGCCAATGAGAGAAGCCTTAGAAGGAAACAGCCCTACACACACCTTGATCCCAAATTTCCAGCCTTCAGAACTATGAGAAAATACATTTCTGTTGCTTAAGCCACCAATATCATGGCACTTGGTTAGAGATGTCTTGGCCAACCCATGTAATAGGCTCCAGTGAACTCGAAAGTAAAATACCCTCTTGGCCCCAACTCATATTGGAACCCCACAATGGTCCTGGGAACTCATACATATGGCCAGCTTCATTATGAGGAGTAACTCAGTGTAGTGACATTGTATTACATGTTCATAATAAGTGAAAATAGGAAAAAAGTAAAAAGATCCCCAGAAGGTTGGAGGGATCAGTTGGTTTGCTGCTGGTGGTCAGGAGGGATTCTTCAGCCTCTGATAGAGTTGTCCACAAAATAGTTACCTCTGATGTCAAGTTGGCCAAGTGCAGGCTGTACCTGCTGACAATGAGTCTAGGGTCCAGACTGTGCTTTCTAGATCATAAAAAGTCCTGCTTGTTGCTTATTTGATAGGGATCATCAGGGTTGAGGTTAGTGCAGGGACTACTTCCGCTAACACTGTGTCACTTTGCCAGCGACAACCACCTAGGTCTGATCAAAACCAGCAGCCAAATCTATTAAGTGACTATTTCTGAAAGCAGAGGAACTTGGAGATATAGTCTTCAATTTAGGTTATTTTAACATAACTAAGAACCAAATACCTATCAGAAATATAGAATGGAAAGGAAAAATTAAGGAACTCTCTACATTTTAGTACAGTTAGTTCTCAACCTGTGTTTCACATTAGAGTTTTCTTACATTTTCCTATGAAAACATACAAAAATTCCATGGCCCAGATATAAACTGGACCAACTAAATGACTATCAGTTTTAAACACTTAAATGTTCCTTAGAAAGTTTCAATTTGAGGCCAAAATTGAGAATTAATGTTATTCATTATGTTATTAATATTATTAAAGTGTTGAAGCCATCGATGCAATTGCCACATAGGTGCATTAAGTATGCATGCACATGCAAGTACACACGCAGGCATCCATGCATGCTGTTCTTATTTCCTACAGGAGAGTGAAGCTACCTCTTAAAAGGAGTGGGAATGTTTTTAGGCGGAGAAATGGTGGGTCTGGGCCGGCGCCATGGCTCAGTAGGCTAATCCTCCGCCTTGTGGCGCTGGCACACCGGGTTCTAGTCCCGGTCGGGGTGCCGGATTCTGTCCCGGTCGCTCCTCTTCCTGTCTAGCTCTCTGCTGTGGCCCGGGAGTGCAGTGGAGGATGGCCCAGGTGCTTGGGCCCTGCACCCCATCCATGGGAGACCAGGAGAAGCACCTGCCTTAGGATCAGTGCGGTGCACCGCCCACAACGCGCCGGCCGCGGCGGCCATTGGGGGGTGAACCAACGGCAAAAAGGAAGACCTTTCTCTCTGTCTCTCTCTCTCAGTGTCCACTCTGCCTGTCAAAAAAAAAAAAAAAAAAAAAAAAAAAAAAAAAAAAAAAGAAATGGTGGGTCTGGTGAAGTGCAGAATACATAGGAAACAGCAGTGGACATTAACAGGAAAGACCACTCAGGATATTTGATAAATACATGCAATGGTGTCTTTCTTTTCATTGGACCAATAGATGCTTCGCCTTTCTATGTTTTTCCATCTTGTAAAATTAATGAAGGTTAAAATTTTGTTTCAGGCTTTCAATGGTAGGAAAATATTTCAAGTGGGTAGAAATTCTGTAATTTTCATACATACTAATGAATTATAGTCTATAATTAATTGAAATGGGATTTTTCTTAATGAGCACTATGTTTCAGACTATTGGTTATGCATTTTATAGGTCATGAAAATGCAACTTTCCCTTCGTGCATAATTAAAACTTTCTTTAAACTAACTGATCTTTCTCCTTCCAACAGTGGCTGGTTTTGCAAGAGCTGTTTTGGCACCAGACACACTGCTCAAAGAAAAATCTATCAGTAGTTGAGCCAGAAAGATGTGTAAGATAGATTTTCTACTGTTGTTTATTTATTTATTTGAGAGGAATGCTGGGAAAAGAGAGAGACCATTCATTGATTCACTTCCTGAATGTTGAACTGAGCCCAAGCAGGTAGCCATCAACGTAATCCAGGTCTCATTCATGGGTGGCAGGATTCCGATGACTTAGCTATCACTGTGGCCCCCTAGAGTCTGCAATGATAGGAAGCTAAGAATCAGGAGCAGAGCTGGGACTCGAGCCCACATACTCCACTGTGGGACACTGGCTTCTTACTGTTAGGACAAATGTCCACTCCAGTGAGATTGATTAATGGACACACAATATTTTTCAGTTAGACAAAATGTAATAAGTGACATATGTGAGGTATATATATATAGGTTTAGTATTTTTTGTCAAATAACCCTGGATATAGATATTATAAGTTTCTCTTTGTGATTCCCTTAAGTTAGCTCATTTTCTTCTGACTAATAGAAAAGCAAATGCTAATACAATAGAAGCCATTTATCATTATTTTGCTTCTACTCATAAGTGTTGCTTTAGATGATTTTCAGACATTGTCTCATGAAGTCCCATATGTCTTTGCAAGTCGATATTATTATAAAGGAAAGAAGGTTGATTTATTTATCAAGGAGTATTTGTCCAATAAATTACAGCGCCAAGACTGACTCTCAACTCATAACCTCTTTTGCACTCTGCTAACTTCTCACTGGAATCACGTGTGGTTATGAAGCTCTATGGGTATTATTTTCCTTTGGAATCAGAGACGAGGACCTCTGTAAAGCCCAATAGTGACATATTCTGCAACATTATTTTTAAGACTGTTCTGGAAGACAAACCACAGAATAGAAGTCTCAGGAGGACAGAAAGCTGGCCCGTTTTGTTCTCCATTGTATCCCTTGGGTCTCTGAATAGCAGTAGCAAATAGTAGATACTAAAAAAAAATTTACATAGTACATAAATCTAAATTGGAAAAGGTTTTGTACACGAAATATACTCAAGACTGATGGACAGAGCAGCAAAGAAATCTTAATTGAACTTGTCTCCAATTGACAGAATTGTAAATTATTTTCTTCTTTTTTTAAAGATTTATTTATTTATTTGAAAGACAGAGTTACAGAGAGAGATAAAGAATGAGATCTTCCACCCACTGGTTCACTCCCCAAATGTCTGCAATGGCTGAGCTGGGTCGAACCCAAGCCAATCTCCAGTAGTTTCCTCTGGATCTCCCATGTGGATGCAGAGGCCCAAGCACTTGGGATATCCTCTGCTGCTTTCCCAGGCACATTAACAGGGAGACGGATTAGAAGTGGAGCAGCCGGGACTTGAACTGGTGCCCATATGGGATGCTGGTACTGCAGGCAGTGGCTTCACTGGTTGTATCATGGTGCTGAACCTAGTTGTTTGCTTCTTGCAGGAAAGAATAAGTTATCAATGCAGACTTTTATTTCAGTCTGGGAAGAATATATAGAGGTAGGAAACTCATTAATTTTGAACTGGGCACAGAGAGAGGAGCTCTTCATTTCATTTAAGTCTTAAAGCAGCTTCACATGTAAATTTTCTCCGTCCTCCTCTGCACAAGAGAAACAAGGGCTCAGTGAGGTTAAGTAACTAGCTGGAGGTTACGACACCCCTAAGCAGTGAAACACGATTCAAATTAAAAGTCAGGCTGATGTGAAAGACTGCCTGTCGGATCGCCCCGTGCTGCCTCTTTGTATTGTAAACAGGACACCCTGGCTGTATTGATTAACTCTTCCATCTAAAGTCATTGGAGAAGTCCCCTGGGGACCTTGGCTGTGATCTCATCTAACCCTCGGGTAACAAGTGGGGACAGAGACCATCAGCAACACGCTCCTGTCCATCATGCTGTGGAATCAGTGCCAGGTTTTGTTCTCTTGGATACTATTTTTCTGCCTTCATTCAAACATGAGAATTATAGGTAAGGGCCTTTACATAGTTGCCAGTCTTTCCTAAAGAAATCCCATAAGGCATTGTGACCTTGTTGAGATAGAACCACTCCACATAATCTAGTCATTGGTGCATAGCTGGATTTCCTTCTCACCACACGTGGTCCAGCTGTT